TTCTATTGCCTTTTCCAATAAGTTTTAAATGCTCCACGTGAGTTTTTGGCCTTACATGACAGGGTTAGAACACATCATCCGCCTCATGTTCTCTAGTGGTGATTGTGATAATATGGGCAATGGTAGGGTAACACTTTCATTTCTTTATATTTTATAGTTATAGGCACTAATTCTTATCGAGAAATAGAAACAGTGGGCATAAGATATTAAATGATGTGCTTCCATTAAAAAGGTAGTTCATAATCAGCCAACTTTGCTTCATTATGACAAGTGATAAGATTTTGTTCTTTGGTAGATTTCAGTCATGAGGTCCTTTTGTGTGTAAATCCCTATGTACTTTCTCAACCAAGTTACTTCTATTGCAGAGCCTTTCTAAGTTAAACCTCCCTGTTTCGGTTCCTTCTGCACACATGATGAGAACAGTTGGACAAGGAGCTATTCTCGCTACTTGTCCTTCCGGTTCATTTGTCAATTCTAGAGCTCTACATATCAAGCCTGAAATAATGGATGAAGGGTTAGAGTTAAGTGGGGAACCTTTAGGATGTTCTCTGCCTGGGGGCTCTGATGGTTATGATCCTGACCAGCCTTTATGGAGAAGTGATGATCCTGAGACATCACCTGCAGTCCTTGCAGCAAATGGACTGAGTGTTGATGATGTTGGGCTCACTGATCATTTTCCGGTTGGGCTATCTGATCAGGGAAGAAACAACTGTTCAAAGAATAAAGAACAAGCAGTGGAGAATATTGATTCAAAAAATAAAGCAGAAGCATTGGAGAATATTGATTCAAAAAATAAAGCAGAAGCAGTGCAGAATATTGATTCCATTACAGAAGCTTCAAGGATTCTTTACGGTGAAACTGAAAATACTGGCCGACAAATTACAGATCCATTTTCTAAGTCACAAAGGAATGTAGGATCCAATATGAGAATGTGTGTCCAAAAGGCACTTTACACGCTCTTTGTTACTGGCATTCCACAAAAAGACAACACAACAGAAGCTCTTTTTGCTCATTTTAGAAAATTTGGAGAGATCATTAACATTTATATCCCAAAAAGAAAAGGGCGAGCGTTTGTCCAGTTTTCTAGCAGAGAAGAAGCCGAGAGAGCTTTAAAGGCTCCTGATGCGGTGATGGGAAACCGTTTTATCATGCTTCAGTGGGCTAAACGGGACTGTATTCCAGAACATGTACTGAGTAATGGCTATAAAGCACAAAGACAGGACAATGGGGCAGCTCCCTCATATGTATATAAAGGAAAGGACAGTGTTCAATCTGCAGTTCCTAGAAGTTCTCTTGCTGTTCCATCAGTCTCTGATCATAAAAAAACCATTGTTAGCAATGAAGCAAAGGACCCACCACTTTCGCGAAAGAAGCTGGAGAATTTAGAATTATTAAAAGAAGAACTTCGTAAAAAGCAGGAAATGCTTGATCTGAAACGCAATGAGTTTCGTCGGCAGTTGGATACCTTTGAGAAACAAGTAAATGCTAGTTACTTCACTATTTAGTTTTCAGCATAAGATGACGTTTATGGTGTTGGCTAAATGTTTTTAATACTCCTTCCGCCCCCCTAAGATCTTCTCGTTTTGACTTTTTGTAGTTTTTAAGGAGAGTTGAAAAAAGTGAAAGTTGACCAAAATACCCTTAATGAAAATGGGTGGAGTGTATTAAATGAGGCGAGTGAGGTGTAATAAATAAAGTGGGGATAGTTGTGGTATTTTAAATGTTAAAAAAAGGTAATGAGAAGATCTATGAGGGACAAATAAAAAAAAGGTTAATGGGAAGATCTATGGGGGACGGAGAAGGTACTATGCGAATTGGTTTTGGATTTTATTTCGCGGTATTACATTCATCACCGAGTCAGTCACAGCTCAGTAATCACACTGCTCCTTCACATAATTGGATTATAACACCCATGGTTAATCACCGGCTGCACCCATCAACAATATCCTCCCCCCCCCTTTGGTGGTCCCTAGATCCCAAAAAAGAGTCCCTTTTCAGGATGTTTTTGTCCCAAAAACAAACCAGTTTTTAAAGGTAGCTATATCTTCAAGTAAAATTCCTTTAAAGCTTTGTGGGATGCATTTTTAGTCAATTACTCAAAACAATCTTTGGAAACGGTGGTGGACCAAACATGATTTTGTAGGTGCAGTGGCACAAGGCCCAATAAAATTGAAGGCCCATTTTTAAATAGTAGTATTAGGTAGATTTTATAATTATATAAATAAAGATGCCAAAAAAGTATATGTTCTAGGAAAATGTATATCTTTCAATATGAAGTTTCAATTGGATTTTTTGATGAATATTTTGATGACAATGAAAAAATCATCACTTATGTTCTATTTTTGTTTGTACAAAATAAACAGCCCAAAATGTCTCTATTGCACAAGGCCCTAATTGACATTTGACTGACCCAGTTAAAATAAGTGGCCATTCATTGCTTGGAAAAAACTGCCGACGGTTATTAAGAACCATGTCATTTTATCTTCAATATTTATTTGTGTGCAGGCTATAGATCACAAAGATGATGATCATGCTGCGAAGAGGCAAAAAACAGGGGTTAGTGAATCACTGAAAGCTACAACTCTGAACTCCATTCTGCCTGATATTGCTGTTTCAGTGACGCAACCATCTGAAGCAGTCGTGGATAGTAGCAATGGCTCTGCTAACAGTACTGTTCACACATTTTCAAACTCTGTTTCGACTTTGGCAACACCACAACCTCTAATCTCTAAGCCATCATTTCGTCCATTGGCGCCTTTGGGGGAACCTTACAACTTCTACAACAGATACAAATTGGACAACCGTCCTACTGCATTCAAAATCAACCCTCCTATTCCAAATGCTCTGGCAAATGTAATTTTTCTTCAAACCCTTCTAGACTTTGAACTGATTCTGCTGTTTTTTTCTACATTTTCAACATATTTGTAGTGTTCATGTTCATCAATATTTATGTGGGGTGTGCGGGGTTAGCAAAAAAAATGCATTTTATTTATGTTCATCAATATTTATTTCCCCATATCAACACTTCTCATACTTTAATCTTGTGCAATCTCTTTATATCTATTACCCATTAACTGTTACTTTATGTGACTTTATTTACACTTAAGCTTTTATTGTAACAGAAGATGGCCTTAATCGGTAGTCCTTTTTGTTTTTTAGGTTGATGTTCTGAAGGAACACTTTTGTTCTTTTGGTGAACTTTCGTCTGTGGAATTAGAAGACGGGGAGAATCAAAATGAATTGGGAACATCTATATTATCTGCTCGTATATCTTTCGTATCACGCCGTTCTGCAGAAAAGGCATTTATGAATGGCAAAGGCTGTCAAGGCCATACTTTGCAATTTAAGTGGTTGCCATCAAACAAGTCTCTCAAAGATGGTGGTGTTGATGAGGGAGCGTCTACTGCTCGTTCACTGTCTTCAGATCCTGGTTTTCATCCTCTTGCATTAGATGCTTCCACCACAAGTTTACAGAAAGAGAATGTTACCGGGAGTTGTGAAAACGAAAGGAAAAGACACACCGAGAATGGGCAAGAGGATTTACGTGTGGGTGAAGATTCCAAGTCCACTTCCATGATGTCTGGTAAGAAAGAATTGGTGTGAGGTTGGACCTAATTGTGAGAAGTTGTACAGCGAGCTGCATTTATAAAAATGCAGGTCATTTAAACAATGGTAATAATTCTGCTATTGTGCCATATAATGCAAACTGTAAAGAGGAAAATTCCTGGTTTAACCGGTGTTTCTCGACCCGAAAGAATTGGTTCTCAAATTCCCTTACATTATGTTTGGTTCAAGGAATTAGGAAGGAAAATTAGTTTCTCTCATTCTCCTCAACAATATGAGAGGAATTTGATTTTCACTCCTTTTAGTATATTTGCATCTTCATTTCATTTTCCATCTACTTCTTTTCTTTTCTTCTCTAACCAAACAAGAAAATATATTTTCCATCTCAATTTATTTTCTTTTTCCTTTCAAATTCCCTGAACCAAACATATTGTTAGCGTTGATATTCCCTTCGCCTCAGAGTAATCGCCCAATATTCCTTTTTGGGCCGGATGAAAGTATATTTTGTGCAGCTGCAAGCTGGGTACAACATGATAGGGTATTTGTGACTTTTTACACTTCACAGTGATTTTCGCGCCAAAACAGAAGTGGATAAACACTCTGCGAGGGGTGGAGTATTACGTATAGGCATGCTTGGGAACTTTTATTAAAAGAAACTGCCTGTTCATATGATGTCGTGTTGCATATTGGGTCGGGAGAAATGTTTCTTCATTATCATGATACTTCTTTATGTCTTGTGTCTCCGAGTATTTTGTCTACTTTTATTATGTCACACATACATATACATGTGAGGGGTAAAAAGTCACAAATACCTTTTATTTTAGATGTCCTCCATCACCATTCACCAGTCCTACCCCCAACTGACCGCCGCACATTCCAGCCCCATTTTCTGCACCATCCGTCTGCCGCCTAGTCTCCCACGGTGGAACGATAGGTGAGAACGACTGGGATGCTCGCCTGAAGCGTATGGTGAAGTCGAAGTTGATGTGCCCATTGACTGTTTAAATTTGACTCCACTCTTTTATTGAATTGAATATCCAAGGGAAAGGGAAGAAATGTGAGAGGGGGGTGAATCTTGAATTGAATCTCTTCCCGTGGACGAATATGTCTAAGGCTTCTAATCTCTTTGAATGGAGAAGATGAAGAGAAATCTAAAGCTGCTGCCTTTTCTTGAGTTCGTCTCCTGTAGCAAAATGAAAAATTGGACTGGAAGGCAATGGGGGGGGGGGGTATAATAGACTTTCCATGTCAGAAAAGGATTATAGGACACTTGCTCTTTGATGGATGGTATATCAAGTTTATATCACGGAGTACATCTCAATGTATTTTTTCATGATTTGTTGTTAAAGTTCAAAAAATATTGACCACAAAAGTTGAAATGAAAAGAAAGATATAGGAGAAAGGGAGTAATATACAAACAGCTTTTCATACTCATGTAATAAACAGAGTATATCTTTTAAAGGCAAATGATATGCATTACAGAGCATTTTTAAAACAATCTGTTGAAGGCAGTGTGGCTCAGCTTGCTCTTACTTTCACAGCATCAAAAACACACAAAGCTCTGGAATAAAAAAAATTGAGTTTGTTTTACAATCAGTGTTACTTTCTTGGGAGATTAAAAAGGCAGCTCCCTTTGCAGTTGGCACTTCTAAAATAAAGATGGAACAATCAATGGAGGTCGCACTCGTTTTCATCAAAAGTCAAAATCCAATCCAAGGGCGGAAGAGGTGGGATTTGTACAGCTTATGTTAAAAGACTAATTATTCTATGATCTTACAGGTTTGTTGACTCCATGTTCGCCAATTCTAGTTGCTCTTCAGGGGATAGATATTGTTTCAGAGAAACACATGAATGGTGCAATACCCGGAAGAGGAAAGCAGCCATGCCATTTTCGCTGTTGTCAATAGGCGGTTGTTTAGCTGAACACTTACCGTCAGCTATGCATTTTGCCCACTCATGGACTCGAATGGTTAATGACCAAATGTGGGAAACAACAGATTCTGCTACCACTGCCCATTGGCTGTCCAAGAGAAGGGATGTCAGTGTGATGGGAAGGTCACTCAACACAGCCATTTGGTCTACAACTAAAACAGGCATGTATCTGCAACAGCTTCCACATAGCAGGCCAATGAACCGCAATGCCTGCACAATGAAACACAGTCTAATAATCAACATTCAAAACTCTGTTGCTTATGCGTAGGATTGTGCTAGAATGGAACTCCAAATCTGATCTCTAATCATGTTAAGACTTAAAATTGCAATCCACACCATTTTCTTCCTTCCGCAATCCGGAGAGATCTTCACTACTTATCTTCAATAATATTACTCAAATTTTACTCCCTCGTCCCAAATTGATTAATGCAAATATGTTTGGCACAATTTTTAAGAAGACAAACGTGATGTTATTTTTTTCCATGTTTACCCTTGGGTGAATACAACTCAACAAGTTAATAGTTAAAATGATTCACCAAGATGGAAAAGTAAAACAGTAGCAATGGTAAAATTAAGAAAGTGAACAATAGTTTTGGGAGATAGTAAAAAGGAGAGTGAATAGGACAGAGGGAGTGATATAAGTTCACTCCATTCCTTTTCCAAGATTCAATCAATCCCACATTATGTGATTTTCTTCTACTGTATAAAATGGTCCATGGTTAGGATATAGAGCACAGGGGGATTTAGACTCTGTTGAGCGAGAGAAAGTATGGTCTTGAAGACCTATGAAGCACGAAATCAGAACTCCTACCGTGGAAGGAAAACGTGAAACACAGCTAATTTGCATCGCATTAACAAGCCATTGTCTCTTGGCACTCCCATCAATGTACTGCAAAGTCTCTATAATGCCTAGTAGAGCATCCCAGATAACTGCATGGGGAGGATTGTAACCATTAGGTGAGGGAGCATTGTAACTCTGAGAAATTTCAACCCCAATGTTAGTGGGTAAAACTTAGAATCAAGGAACTCACCTTCACATCTGTGGTTCAACATATAAGATTGTAGTTTTCCGAGTTCACTCAATGAGATGGAGCCAGTTTGAACTAATCTTGATTTCACTAGGATCTTTTTCACAGATTCAGAGTGATCATTTACCTCATTATGACTCACCTCCGGAATCTGTGAAGAAAATGGAAACCAAAACCAATATCATATGTATCTGAAATTGGAGCCGAAGTAACATCTTATTCTCTCTAAATTACTAAATGTAATCATCACCATCGACGCCATTATACAGCAAACACTTAGGGAACTGTCTACCATTGACATGCATAAGTGCAATACTTCCAATTTTGAAAGAATCCAAGAGAAACCAAACAGTTGGCATCCAATATGTGGCCACATAGAAATGGCTTAAAAATTATTCAAATTTTCAGCAGCAAATAGCATGCACTCTGTATAAACTCATGAGGGCAAAGAAGAAGAAAAGGAAAAAGGTATAAGAACCTGCAAAAGATTCAATAGCCATCCTTGTTCAGATTTCGCAAGGCATCGAATTGCTTCAGACCATTCTCCAGAGATATTTGCCTGATACAGTTGTTTAGAGCCAACGGAGGGAAACTGGGGTAATGCATGGAATAGAATTTCCATACAGTTTTCTATTTCAGATTTGTAACTTAGTGTGTTAAGAGAAGATTCCTCCAAACACTTATTCAGGCCTCTCCAGCATGACGACCTCAATGAGCTTTTCTGATCAGGACTCAATTGTCCAGATGAAACTAACCAAGATAAGAAGTTAGCCAAATCATTGAACAGTTTCAAAACCCGAGAGCCAGAGAATATCTTAGACAGATCAGCCAGGTACACTAGTATGCATGACTGCAGAGTTGGTTCAAGTGCCCTCATCCTGGCAAGGTCGCAAAGTTCGTCAAGAAAGATAAGGATTTGATCAAATTGGTTTGCATGGGATAGAGAGAAAAGTATGCATTCCTCTCTCAGAAGTCCTTTCTCAAAGGTTACATCTTGGGACAACATTTCAGCAACTTCACCCTCGTATTGCATGCATCTTCTGATGATTATTCCCCAATCTAATGATGGCAATCTGGGGGCTTGTGTAAGACAGTGCATAACCCTTGCAACAGTGTTAACATGTACTACTTTGCCTGTCTGAAACATGAAAGAAGAAGGGGTCTGATAGTCAAACATCACAGAAGGATGGAAGGTATTTTAAGGTTTTAGACACCCAACTCAAAGAATTGTTACAGTAGTTCTTTCATGAATTACACTGCTTAAAAGAAGTGACAAAATGAAGGAATCTGAGAGTTAAATGTCATATAAAGATGGAAGGCTTTAAGATTCTTAGACACCCAACTAAAGAATTGTTATAATGGTTCTTTCATTAATGAAAGTGCTTAAAAGAAGTGATAAATTTCACAATAACTTACCCCAGTGTACTGCAGATTCTTTAGCCACAAAGATAGCCTCAAAACTGTGCTGTCCTCGGGAAAAGAGTGTGAGACATTCTTGATGTCTTCATCACCAACTGTAGTTTCCTTATTATGTGGCTCTTGGAAATGTAAAGAATGCCTAAGAAAGGAAACCGCCCATGCAGCATACTGTTTCAGTTGATCACTATCAGAGTTTTGTGCTAAAAGAAAAATCTCTTGCACCATTGATGTCAAATAAGGCTCCAAGGCTGGATTTGAAAGTAATGGACCATTGATGAACGGAGACTCCTGCTAGATAATGATTTATAACAAAAAGTATATATATAAAACCATTCTTGTATGAGTGTACTCATTCTAAGAGCACTGTTTAGAGGAAGAAATGCAACATTCAATTCTACTACTGCAGAAGAGGGGAATGTATATCCTCCTACACAGTGAAGAGGTAATGCAACAACCCACTAGAACCTCACTCACCGGAACCCCCACTCCCTAAATTCCAATTAATCATAATAGTCTTAAAGAATACCCGGAGTAAAGCATTTGAATAAATTTATAAAAATTTAAATTGATCCAAGGCAGGTATGCCTATTCACAAGATGGTTTGAAGGATTTTAAATATGTTAACTATTTATGCTCTATTTTGTATGATAAAGTGAACTTTCCATCGCCAACTTCTCACTTTCCATTCATTTCCTTCTTCATATGTAACTACTACTTTAATTGAGATTTAACTATTTGAGCTTTCAAGGGTGCTCTGTGACAAGGCCATGCTGAGATTCAATAGCAGATTCTGTTGGGATGCCATTTTGACATTTGGCTGCTATAATGTACAGGTTTAAGTGTTGGGCGATTAAAAAGCTATGTGCGTGGAAGTCAGAAGTTGCGAAAATTAGAATGTTGTGGTGTATTTGTGGGCATACCATGTGAAACAGAATACAGAATGAGGTCTTTTAGTCATAGATAGAGGCAGTCCCTATCGCTAACAAAGTAAGAAAAGACATACTACAATGGTTTGATCACGTTGGTTGTAGAGACACAACAGAGAACAACGTAGAGATCATGTTGGTTGAGGGGACCTGTAGGAGAGGCAAGCCCAGTAAGACATGGGATGAACAAACGAGGTTGAACCCAGTGTCTTTAAAGGTTAAACCTCTCCGAGCACATGACCCCTGATGTTTGGTCTTGTAGAGTCCTTGTAGGGATATTTGCAAGTGCTGTTGGGATTTGGAGATCAGGCTAGGCTAGCTGTGTTTTTTCCCACTGTTACCTTTTATCCAGTCTCTCTCAGAAAAAGCCCCTCTACTCACAATGGAAGTAAGGTCTACCTAAATCTAGTCTCTCCAGACCCTACTCATGACTTCATGAGTAAGATATACAGGGTAGGTTTGATTTGGATTGGTTAAATTACCTTTTGATCATCGATAACATATAATGAGCACGAAGGGTGATCTGGAAACAGTATATTTGCACCAGCCCCTAACGCATTTACAGCCCCAATGACAGCGCCCAAGTGAACTAAAGGATGGTTGGGATTTGAGTAGCTCTTCCTGAATAAATCGAGCAAATCTTTTACAAGTTCAACTTTCAAAGCATGCGAACTTCCATTCGAAATGGCACCAAGAAGGCTCCCAGCTCCAACACAAGATGCCAACAACAAGCTCTGATGAAGAGTGCTAAACCTCTGAACAGGGACTAGCTGAGAAATAAGTTTCTTGTAGCAACCCACTAGCTGCTCCATCTGAGTACCATCTATAAGCTCTACTCTGTGACAGAAAACCATTACCATAGGTGCTGCAAGGCAAGCACCTGTTGATAACAGAAGCTCACATTCTGCACTTGCAGCAGAAAAAGGAACGGAAGGATTCAAGTTGGGAATCCAAGACAGAAGCAAGGTTTTCAGATTGAGAACTGCATCATAACCACCGGCTCTATAGATTGCACCAGCAGAACTGCCTAAGCCCAATATGAGCCCTGCAGTACCCCATACATCATCCTTAAAACTGTCACTGCTTTGTTCAAGAACCTTGGGAGTAACATTTGAATCAAAATCATCTGATCCAAGTTGAAGCCATGAAAATGCATTTTTCAGAATATCAACTGATGAATGAGTTAATGGACTTATCAGTTGGGATAAGCTCCCAATAATCTTTTTCAACAAATTCACTTCTTCTGCTCTGAGTGTTCCTCTACCCAGATGAGAATTATCTTCAGCTTCACTCTTGGTAAGAAGATCTTGACATGAAAACCCCAACCCAACCCCACATGCTCCTTTCACAAGGGTGCTTTTGCTCATGGATAACACCTGTAAAACTGTTGTTTAAGAAAAAAATAAAAAGTAAAATAGTGAGCAGGTAAGTTAATAGATTTCCAACCTCAAGAAGTGCATTAATATATTCTATTTTCAGCTTGTGATCGGTCACATGCAGGCAACTTGATATCAACCCAAGAGAAATAGCAGCAGACCATTGTCGATACTCATGCTCATGTTGGAACAGCCATCCCAGCAAGAATTTTGATGCAGTTGATTTAATAACATGGTCGGATAATGGGAGTACCTAGAAGTAGCAGTGTAATAAGAAAATGAGATAAATAGAAAGGGGATCATTATCTACTGTAGAAATGCAAATGGATGTCAGAATTCCAATGCAAATTGAAATAGAACATATTCTCACCGAACAAAGAGCCCCAATTGCTAACCCAATATTCTCAGCAGATCTGGGAGGAGATGTTTTGCCAACTTCTATCAAATTCTGCAAGTTCACAAACAGAAAGATACATCATTTCTGGAAGAATAAAAACTAATGCACCATTGGTACTTTAAAAGAGACATTCAACCTTCAAAATTTCCTTAGCAGCATTGGAAGTTCTATCTGACACAGTCGAATGCACCTTTGTATCAAGTAATATGAGGCGAGCCCTTAGCCATCTTCGCATGAATGGTTTCCAAGATTGCAATGCCAGTAGAGCAATCAAAACATTCCTTGAGAGCTGAAGAGAGTCGACTATTTCAACTACAGCATTCTTGTATTTATCTTGTACATCTTGCAATGCCTTCTAGCAGGGAAAAAATTAGGAATCATGGCAAAACCTCAAGATATGAATTCGATGGTAGTCTGGTGCATTATATCTTACTTCTGGTGTTCTCGGAAAATTCAAGCCTTTATGATTGAAAGAAAGGCAAAAGAGTGCTGCACCAGGCAGTTCTCTAGGTATTCTGTCACTTCCTGCATATGAAATGCTAACGTGAAAAACTGAGAATTATATGCAGCAATCCTTACATGCCTGCACATATCAATGATTTCATATTCCTAGAATATATAATATAGAATGTCTACCTGAAGTAATCATGACCTTAGGGAAAACATCAATTAGCTTTTCAATCTTTCCTTTTGGCTGTTTTTTCTGCTTCACCAATCTTCTACGTGTACTGGGAGATGAAACTTAAAGTTAGCATCTTCAGTAAATTTATAAAATCTGAAAGACATGAAAAAGACTCACGTGTGCTCATGACTTATAATTTTTACTTCAAATCCGTTTAATGCTTTCAATACGACCAGATCAGCCTCAGATGTAAGGAACTCCAAATTCCTATCATTAAATTCTGGAATGCTTCTCTGAAATTGCCCTACCTGAGAAAATGTGGAGCATAGTCTAAATGCTAAGTAAAAAAATTATTGTGAACATATTGTGGGATTTTCCCCTCAATAATCCCACGAAAAAATACAACCCAATTCATGGGATACAACAACCCAATTAAATCCCACGAAAAAAATACAACATATAAGCCTATAGTGTATCCACTATCCAGACATGAAACATTATTGAGGGGAAAAAGAGTAAATAGCTTTCCATTAAAGCTTACCTCATAATGAGTTAATGCCACAAAGGCAGATGCCCGAGCTTTCATCCATCCAACACCAACAATTTTAGAGTTCCCAATTTCCCACAATAATTTCACAACTCCAAGAGCAGGTTCAGGATATGATTCGGCATCCAGTGCACCCCATCTTAAGAGATGACAAAGACTGGTCATTTATGAGAAACAAGGAACTTCAGTATAGTTTATATTTCAGGTAAGCAATGGTAAAGTGCAAAATTACAGTGTCACAATGGACTGATTAAAGATTAAGATCTCACAAAAGAGCAAATTGTCAAAAAAAGGGTCAGTGATTCTGCACGGACTTCGGGGTAGAGAATAGTAAAATATTAACAATAATGTAAGCTAATATGTAGAAGTATGAACAATTTAGTAGCTTCAAGGCACACAAACATGGACAAATGTCCATACTCTTTCAAAATCTCATGAGAGCATAAAATATTATGCAAGCATGTTTTGCTTATTTGATTCTAGGTTTGAATGTACACTGAAGTGTGCTATGATGAAAAAAACGGTGGTGCATTCACCTTATAAGAACTTCAATTTTTACCTACAAGCAACAGTGGCATTTCTGAAGTAGTTTAGCACATGTCTTGCTATAGCATCCCAAGCTGTATAAAAATCTGGACAAAATGTAGAAGCTCTCTCTTCATTTAGTACTACTTACTAGAAATAAGTCAAATAACTACTACGTAATAAAAGTGAATCAAGCAGCAAATTTAATAGCATGTAAGGTTGTGTTCCGTTTAACTTATTTTTTATGCTTACTACTTATTCTTATTAAAATCAGATCAAATCAGATCCAATCTGATCAAAATCATTAAGATCACACGGCGTAAATCCCATAAAGGGAAGGAGAATTGGCATCAAGAAGGATTAGATGCCTTTTTCAAAGAGCCATTAACAGGAGTTTTTCCAACTCTTATTCATTGGTTGATAGAAAACATCGAATGGATGTTAAGCCTTTAAGTTGGTATTATATATACGATGGAAGGAATTCTTTAAGAACTTTTCTAAAAGCATCGTGATGTTTTTAGAAGATGCTACTGAGTACTGACTTACGAAGTATTAAGTAAAAAATACTCTGTACTTCATACATAGCACTACCTACTACATCTGCTTCACAAAGATGGGCAAGGCTTTCAAGACCAAGTGACTGAATAAGACAATCTTGATGCTCAATGCAAGCCTGTTATTATAAATACATTAGAGAGCTTGGAATCCAAAGCAGGAAATTGACAAACAATTAGAAAAACATACCTCCACAGACAAGATAAGGTCAACACCTCTATCAGGGTCCTTTCTACATACACTACGAATGGAAAGAGCCATGCTAATACAGATCTCTCTCTCACATGCGAGCTCTGTAAATTTTTTTGCGAGTAATACTCCCTAAATCCAAACAGAGATAGAACAACAATGGTGTCATTTTAATTCCAGTACTAACTAAATGATTCCTTATGTAAAACATACGGAATATTTACCTGTAAACTTCCAAAGACGCGATCGTTGCACTCCCATGCCTTACAGATCAAACGTATTGCAGAAGCATACAGAACACTAGAAGAAATAAAATACTTTTTAGGCTTTTTATGCACACATTTATGAAATTTTTAAAAGTAATACCTCAACTATTAGAGATATGCATATTCTAGAAAATCAAATGCTAATTTTTCACAGAAAAATGAAGAGCGGCTTAACTTTAAACAAACAGGTCGAAGAGAAACATTGCAACATGTTAAGATTAATCTATGAAATGAAAGCAAACAAAATATATTCATGATACCCTCTCTCTCTACATATATATATATATATATATATATATATATATATATATATAATCATGAAAAAAGCATAGTGAACCATGAAGACATTTGCAAATGAGCAATGATACTTATTACAAGGACAAGGTGCATGTAACATGTGAGAAATAGGACTAAAACCTCTAAAGAACTTACGGTTGAGCCTCCTTTTGAAGCATCGGTAAAATTGTTTGAATGACTAGAGGCAACATTGCAGAATGTGAAGCAAGTGATGGTAGCATGCCCAAGAGTTTTAACTGCAGCAATTGTGCCATAGGGAGAAAATGTAATAGGAGTAACAAAAATCAGAATAAAACTACGCTCCCTCTGTCTACGAATTAACTTGAGGCACGCATACTGATGCTTGACTGCTTGAGTAAGTAATTTTCAATTCATTTTATTTAAATATTGGTGTAAAAATTTAACTACTCCCTCCGTCCCATAAAAAATTTTCACAGTTACTATTCACAAAGTCAAATTGTATCCTCCTTTGCCTATTTTCATTACTCATTTGAGAAAATAGAATAATCATGCCACCCCTAATTTCGTACTCCCTCCGTCCCAAATAACTTTTCCTGTTTGAAAAACGACATACATTAATAATATGTAATTTTGATGTTATTTTCTAATTATGACTCATCTATCCTAAACATCATATCCTACCCTGTTATAAAGTAAGGGTAAAATTAGAAAATAAAACCAAAATTACACATTTTTAAGACGCACCTTTTTTTCAAACAGGAAAGGCTCTAAGAGCCGGAGGGAGTATAACTTTTGATGTAGTTTTTAAATATAGAAATTTTATTTTTTCAATTCCAAGTCAATTTTGAAATAAATTGAATTGAAAATAACTTCACTCAAACATCGTAAATCACGAAGGAAAGCTTTTTTAAATGGAAGTAGTACATCAAAAGTTCTAAAAAATAAGAGATGACATCACTATGTTATTTAAATAAATGATCACTGAAAATATGTATGTAAAAATACTCCGTATATAGTTTGACATTTGAATAGTAACAACAAAGTTCATTTGGAGGGAATTGTTTTTCAAAGTTTTAGAATGAAGCTCTCCAGTGATAAAAATGCTGTGATAAAAGTTTGAGTTAAATCAATGAAGTTACCGGCAAGGCAGGGGAACTAATATCCTTGTCAGAAAACATATGTGTGTAGAAAAGCATGACTAGCCACAATGGCATCCCAAGTTTTGGGTCCACTTGGCTGCATGTAGCCAATAAATCTACAGCAGACTGTGCAAGAGTTCGATGCAAGAGGAGTACACATGTGATCCCACTTAGTAATGAAGGCATTTCTGCATGAAAGCAGTAGTTGCAGCTAACCATTAATTACGTTTAATCAGCAAACATGAAAGCATATACGACTGAATTTCAGCCAAGTTAACAGATTACCAGTAAGAAGTTTTTCATGGGATCCAGATATTGATAAAGGAGACTTTCTTCTTGAAATGATCAGCATCATGTACTCATTCAACATAGATGCCCATGACTTTGCTATATTCTTCTTGTTTGTGGATGATTCATCAACAGGAGCAACATTTAGATAGAAATGGCTAGGTAATGAAGCTTGGTCCTGAGTTTTTGCAGAAATCATTTTAGAAATCATTATCTAAGAAATTTTCTTTCTTAGATAATTGATTCCTCACACACCCAAAAAAACATAAAATAGC